TTTTGACATTTTATATTAAATACTATTATATTACGAATAATTTCTAAATCTTTTAATTACATAACCTATTCCATTCAACAAGGCTGAAAGGTAAATTCTACAAGACTGTAGTGAGGCCAGCATGAGATATATTTAATCAAATAAAAAAGAAAGCCATCAATTAGTAATAAGGTATATTTATTTAATTAGGTACAAACAACAAAAATGTTAGTTTTATTTATAGCATTTAGATATAACAATTTTTTTTTAATTGAACGTCAATTATAAAGGCGATAAAATATAATTATGTGTTTAAATAAATATTTTTTATTGCTCTTATAAATATACAATTATATTAATATAAATATGTTTTCCAGTATTAATTACATTTATAAATTAAAAAATAATGAAGTAAAATTTAGTTTAATTTAGTTGCTAAGTGCTCCTTTATTTTTTAAAAGTTGCATAAAATCATGATGTAATTTTTTTAAACTAATAATTGTTATTAAATGTAAGTCATTTATTAATAAAAACTTATTTTTTCGTTATTTTTCAGTTTAACAATGTTTTTGAAAAAATTTTCTACAAATATTTTTACTAACAATGGTAAAAATTTTAACGGCTTGTTATACCATATCAAAAACATTCATTGTGCTGCATATAATGACGGATGCACTAATTTTACAATGTATAAGCTTGTGATGATTAGACACGGGGAGAGTGAATGGAATAAAAAAAATCTATTTTGTGGATGGTATGATGCTGCACTTAGCTGCAAAGGTAAAGAAGAAGCAAAAAAAGCAGGAAGAACTTTATATGACAATCAATATAAATTTGATTTGGCGTACACATCAATGCTGAATAGGGCTCAAGAAACTTTGGAAATTATTTTGAAAGAAATAAATCAAACACATATACCAGTTTGTAAATCTTGGCATTTAAATGAACGGCACTATGGTAGTCTAACAGGTTTGAACAAAGTGGAGACTGCGAAAAAATTCGGCGAAAAAAAAGTACAAGAATGGAGACGCAGCTTTGATAAACTACCACCCGAAATGAAGTCAGATCATGCCTATTATAAACAAATTATAAATGATTCTAGATACAGTGAAGAACTTTGCAAAAATGAATTTCCTTTAACTGAGTCTTTAAAATTAACTATAGAACGTGTTTTACCTTATTGGAAAAATGTGATTGTTCCACAAATTAAGTTAGGTAAACGAGTTATTATAGCTGCTCATGGAAATAGCCTAAGAGGATTAATAAAACATTTAGATTGTATATCCAATGATGGAATAATGAATCTAAATCTTCCAACGGGAATTCCATTTTTATATGAGCTGGATGAAAATTTAAAACCTTTAATATCAATGAAATTTTTAGGTGATGCAGAAACTATTAAAAAGGCTACGGAAGCCATAGCAAATCAAGGAAAAATTAAATAATTACACTTTTTCATTTTATGCAATTGTAGCAAATTGGCAGCTGTTAGAAAATATAAATGTTCTATATAAATAAAAATATACAATTAAAACTAGTATATTATTTCTTGAATTTATATGTGTTTTTTTCAGCACTGGCCACTAATGCGTAATATAAACATGATAAATAATTTTAGTTTTATTTTTAATAAGTTACTATTAACATTGAATATAAATAGTGTACTATATTATCTAATTTTAAAAATTTCCATTATTTAGATTTAGATGAGACGATAACAACTTTAGGATAAGTTCTTATTGAGTTACAAGCATTTTAATACATAGAGTAGATATGTAATGTGGCAGAAGTTGTAACGTAACATAAATGTACTCTTCATTTTAGTATATTTGTATAGTTGTATTTTAATTAATTTAATTGAAATAAATGCTTGTTGCAACAGCGTTTATCATCCACATAATCTTGATAAGGAGTTGTGATTTGTTTGTGTGCTGCGATATAGTAGCTGTGTATTACTTTAGACCGGTTCATTAACGGCATTTGTATGTACACTCCCCTGCTCCTTTCCTATCTTGAACGTCATTTACATTGCTCATCATCTTCACTTGTCTAGTTATAAATTATAATTAATTCATTTTTTCTCTGTAATTTTCGGCACTCGTCTTAATTAAATTTGTAGACCTCTATCTTTAAAGGCTAGCCGCGTCGCCATCTGATCGTCGGTCAATTAGTCAAAATAAACATCATCGTAATTAGTTTAAGGTGACTTTCAGTCGTAGCTAGTGAATTTTTTATACCCAGGTCCTTCGTGGCTGGATAATGTTTTTTTAAAGTGTTTTGAGCCGAAATTTGTTTTATAATTTTATTTTTAAATGCACCCAACCCAACCGTGTTTTATGCACATGTTTTTTTAGATGCCTATATATTTTTTGACTTCCCTTACATGACGAGTGTCTCGTCATATTTATATATTATTTTGTATTTTTGGTATTGATAACTAGCTGCTACATGCATAATTTATACATTATAGTATGCTGAGTGAGGATCATTATCATGGCAATATGGTGACGTAGTGCATTTTATTCTGGAGTACCCCAATGACATGAAAGCTGTCTTGTAAGTCTAACTATTTAAAATTAGTAGCTTACTTTTGACGTATTCCCACAGTGCTTTAGTGGTAATTCTGCGTACGTAACGGCCGGCAAGTACCCGAAGACGTTCATTATCTTCAAACTCTACATGGCCAAAACAAAATTCATTTGTTTTTCTCGTATTTTTTAGAACTGTTTGAAACTGATGACCTGAAACTGACCACAAACCAAACTGTTTGGGGTCAAACACTGTAGCCCTTATCTTCCATAAAACAAAGTTAATAATTAAAACACGTATTAATTTTTCACTAAAAAAACGATTTGATATGAACTCAATAATATTCATGGAATAAACTATTAAATTCAAGTTAACAATTTTTTTTAAATAGTTTTATTTAGTAGCAGAGATTGTAGCTTAATAATATAATTTGAAAATAATTAGTATCACAATACCTTGAATTTTAACACTAAAATAGCATATTTTTGAATATGACAACCATATTCACTATATCTCGGAAAATTTTTTTCATAGTAAAATATATTTACAAGTATATTTAAATTGAAAAAGCTTAACTTGCTAACTAAAAGCTTAGACTAATACTAATATTAGTAATAACTTACAATCTTATAAATGAAGTCAACAGAAACATGCATAAAGTTAAATTTATAATGAATTAAATATGCTTAAAATTATAACTTAAATGCATAACATGCTTAGATTTGTGCTATTTACAACTAAATTTTAATTATACTTGGTTCTAAAAAAATGACTTTTACAAATCAAATAAGTAAAACTTATTTTATTTCTAAAAGTGCAAGATGTTTCCTAAACTACTTGGTAAGGGACCAATAGGAACAATTAACAATAAAGTTTGTCATGTAAGGAACAATAAGTATTTTTTTCTCAGACCTATATTTAAGAATATAGAATATAATAAGGAGTTTGAGCCACCATTAGTATCATCATGATACAATGATTATACTATAACAATAGTCTTTCGATACCCACAGCTAACCCAGAGTGTCAGCCGAACACAGTGACTGCTGTACGATAACACGCACGTGAATACCTAGATAGCAGGCTCCTCATCCTCATCTTTGTTCATTTTACTTGTTGTTTTGTGATATGACCCCAAGTTTCCATTAAAGAGGAGGTGTGTACTCATGTTGTTCACACGAGTGCCAGTGAACGTTTTAGGATAGTAAAGAAGTATGAGTTATGCGTTTATTGTATAGAACCAGGCCACAAAGCAAGTATTGCGAGTTTGCCAAGCAATGTGATATCTGTAATGGTCCCCACTCTCGTATACTTCATTTCAACACTGTATAGCTCATATTGTCATCATTTCATTCATGGATATCAAGAAATCCTTTTCGAATACAATAGTTTTCCTGTACACTAATCAACAAATTAAATCTCAATCACATCTTCTCAAGTATCAATTNTAATCAACAAATTAAATCTCAATCACATCTTCTCAAGTATCAATTCTTCAATCAACAACTTGTCATCAATTGTGTTCAATTATAACCAATCTAATTCCACATACAATCAATCTTTAAAGGTGGATACCTTTATGGTGGGCGGTATGTTTGAGCCTAGCAAAGTCTATCTTTAATTTGTGGTCACTCGTCGCTTCTCTTATTACTGGTCAAGTTAATCTGTCAGGGTAGCGGTTATGCGCTTGAAAATCATCGCTCTCTCGCTTTTGAATAGCCTAATGGTCTAGAAGTTTTTTTGTGTCATTGTTTCGTCGAGTCCACCTATTATGTTGTTACTAAAATTTTTCAAGTTTTTCTCTCCAACATTGTCGTGGTTATATTGTTGACTAATTTGTCATGGTAATACTCTTAAACGTTGTAATTTGTAGAAAACTTACTTACAACAAATTTTCTCTTCAAATTGAAGACTTCAATTCTTAAATCAAATTTTAGAAACCTTGTGGTTTATTTCATATTTCTTAGGAAAATACTAGTCTATTAGTAATGTAAGTTAATTATTACAAATTTTGTTGTTATCATATTGAACAAATATTGTTTAGTAGTACATTTATTAGTCAAAGTCAGAATCTTATAATTATTATTGAAATCAATCACTAGAGTTCTAATACTCCTTTGTTATGGGTGGTAAAACTTTATTTAGTTGAATCTCATAATTGTTTTACTCATTTACAAAATGTCATGCAAAATTAACTATAATTATTAAAATTCTTTGTCGATCAATCACTAATATTCAATTTTTTCATATTGTCTACACTCATACTTGTAATCACATAAACTTAAATTTCTGTAGTCTTTTCAGAAACTAACTGGTTTCTTAATTTAAAAATCACACTACACCTAACAAAATTGAATATTAGTTGTAAAAAATACTTATTGTTCCTTACATGACAAACTTTATTGTTAATTGTTCCTATTGGTCCCTTACCAAGTAGTTTAGGAAACATCTTGCACTTTTAGAAATAAAATAAGTTTTACTTATTTGATTTGTAAAAGTCATTTTTTTAGAACCAAGTATAATTAAAATTTAGTTGTAAATAGCACAAATCTAAGCATGTTATGCATTTAAGTTATAATTTTAAGCATATTTAATTCATTATAAATTTAACTTTATGCATGTTTCTGTTGACTTCATTTATAAGATTGTAAGTTATTACTAATATTAGTATTAGTCTAAGCTTTTAGTTAGCAAGTTAAGCTTTTTCAATTTAAATATACTTGTAAATATATTTTACTATGAAAAAAATTTTCCGAGATATAGTGAATATGGTTGTCATATTCAAAAATATGCTATTTTAGTGTTAAAATTCAAGGTATTGTGATACTAATTATTTTCAAATTATATTATTAAGCTACAATCTCTGCTACTAAATAAAACTATTTAAAAAAAATTGTTAACTTGAATTTAATAGTTTATTCCATGAATATTATTGAGTTCATATCAAATCGTTTTTTTAGTGAAAAATTAATACGTGTTTTAATTATTAACTTTGTTTTATGGAAGATAAGGGCTACAGTGTTTGACCCCAAACAGTTTGGTTTGTGGTCAGTTTCAGGTCATCAGTTTCAAACAGTTCTAAAAAATACGAGAAAAACAAATGAATTTTGTTTTGGCCATGTAGAGTTTGAAGATAATGAACGTCTTCGGGTACTTGCCGGCCGTTACGTACGCAGAATTACCACTAAAGCACTGTGGGAATACGTCAAAAGTAAGCTACTAATTTTAAATAGTTAGACTTACAAGACAGCTTTCATGTCATTGGGGTACTCCAGAATAAAATGCACTACGTCACCATATTGCCATGATAATGATCCTCACTCAGCATACTATAATGTATAAATTATGCATGTAGCAGCTAGTTATCAATACCAAAAATACAAAATAATATATAAATATGACGAGACACTCGTCATGTAAGGGAAGTCAAAAAATATATAGGCATCTAAAAAAACATGTGCATAAAACACGGTTGGGTTGGGTGCATTTAAAAATAAAATTATAAAACAAATTTCGGCTCAAAACACTTTAAAAAAACATTATCCAGCCACGAAGGACCTGGGTATAAAAAATTCACTAGCTACGACTGAAAGTCACCTTAAACTAATTACGATGATGTTTATTTTGACTAATTGACCGACGATCAGATGGCGACGCGGCTAGCCTTTAAAGATAGAGGTCTACAAATTTAATTAAGACGAGTGCCGAAAATTACAGAGAAAAAATGAATTAATTATAATTTATAACTAGACAAGTGAAGATGATGAGCAATGTAAATGACGTTCAAGATAGGAAAGGAGCAGGGGAGTGTACATACAAATGCCGTTAATGAACCGGTCTAAAGTAATACACAGCTACTATATCGCAGCACACAAACAAATCACAACTCCTTATCAAGATTATGTGGATGATAAACGCTGTTGCAACAAGCATTTATTTCAATTAAATTAATTAAAATACAACTATACAAATATACTAAAATGAAGAGTACATTTATGTTACGTTACAACTTCTGCCACATTACATATCTACTCTATGTATTAAAATGCTTGTAACTCAATAAGAACTTATCCTAAAGTTGTTATCGTCTCATCTAAATCTAAATAATGGAAATTTTTAAAATTAGATAATATAGTACACTATTTATATTCAATGTTAATAGTAACTTATTAAAAATAAAACTAAAATTATTTATCATGTTTATATTACGCATTAGTGGCCAGTGCTGAAAAAAACACATATAAATTCAAGAAATAATATACTAGTTTTAATTGTATATTTTTATTTATATAGAACATTTATATTTTCTAACAGCTGCCAATTTGCTACAATTGCATAAAATGAAAAAGTGTAATTATTTAATTTTTCCTTGATTTGCTATGGCTTCCGTAGCCTTTTTAATAGTTTCTGCATCACCTAAAAATTTCATTGATATTAAAGGTTTTAAATTTTCATCCAGCTCATATAAAAATGGAATTCCCGTTGGAAGATTTAGATTCATTATTCCATCATTGGATATACAATCTAAATGTTTTATTAATCCTCTTAGGCTATTTCCATGAGCAGCTATAATAACTCGTTTACCTAACTTAATTTGTGGAACAATCACATTTTTCCAATAAGGTAAAACACGTTCTATAGTTAATTTTAAAGACTCAGTTAAAGGAAATTCATTTTTGCAAAGTTCTTCACTGTATCTAGAATCATTTATAATTTGTTTATAATAGGCATGATCTGACTTCATTTCGGGTGGTAGTTTATCAAAGCTGCGTCTCCATTCTTGTACTTTTTTTTCGCCGAATTTTTTCGCAGTCTCCACTTTGTTCAAACCTGTTAGACTACCATAGTGCCGTTCATTTAAATGCCAAGATTTACAAACTGGTATATGTGTTTGATTTATTTCTTTCAAAATAATTTCCAAAGTTTCTTGAGCCCTATTCAGCATTGATGTGTACGCCAAATCAAATTTATATTGATTGTCATATAAAGTTCTTCCTGCTTTTTTTGCTTCTTCTTTACCTTTGCAGCTAAGTGCAGCATCATACCATCCACAAAATAGATTTTTTTTATTCCATTCACTCTCCCCGTGTCTAATCATCACAAGCTTATACATTGTAAAATTAGTGCATCCGTCATTATATGCAGCACAATGAATGTTTTTGATATGGTATAACAAGCCGTTAAAATTTTTACCATTGTTAGTAAAAATATTTGTAGAAAATTTTTTCAAAAACATTGTTAAACTGAAAAATAACGAAAAAATAAGTTTTTATTAATAAATGACTTACATTTAATAACAATTATTAGTTTAAAAAAATTACATCATGATTTTATGCAACTTTTAAAAAATAAAGGAGCACTTAGCAACTAAATTAAACTAAATTTTACTTCATTATTTTTTAATTTATAAATGTAATTAATACTGGAAAACATATTTATATTAATATAATTGTATATTTATAAGAGCAATAAAAAATATTTATTTAAACACATAATTATATTTTATCGCCTTTATAATTGACGTTCAATTAAAAAAAAATTGTTATATCTAAATGCTATAAATAAAACTAACATTTTTGTTGTTTGTACCTAATTAAATAAATATACCTTATTACTAATTGATGGCTTTCTTTTTTATTTGATTAAATATATCTCATGCTGGCCTCACTACAGTCTTGTAGAATTTACCTTTCAGCCTTGTTGAATGGAATAGGTTATGTAATTAAAAGATTTAGAAATTATTCGTAATATAATAGTATTTAATATAAAATGTCAAAACATATAATATAAGAGATGTACAACGGCAACGGGTCACTTTACTCGATAGACGGTGAAACTACGACTAAACTCTAAATATGTATACAATAGGCTGCATTGAGTAAAACAACATAATCGTATAAGGAATGTGTCCCTTTGACCTTGTACTATACTAACATAAGTAAAAATACATTAAACTGTTATCTTAAATAATATTACTGTACCCAGTGTGTTGTTTAATAATATCAACACTTCCCTTTAAACAATACACCCGTACATAGTTAATTAAAAAATTATAAATCTATATATCTGATTCCTAACATTTCTCTGAGTTCTTGAAATCTTATTCGTGGTGTTGGCTTGGTCAAGATGTCAGCTAACTGCTCTTTGCTGGTCACATACTCCAGTGAAAACATCCCTTCATTGAACTTCTCACGAATATAATGATAACGAACATCTATATGTTTAGTTCGTTTATGGAATTCTGGATGCTTCACCAATTTTATGGCACTTTGATTGTCCGCGTACAAAACAGGTGTCTCTCCCTGTGTTTCCAGAAGATCACTTGTTAGTAGCGTCAACCAAGTTAATTCCTGGACTGCTTGACTCAGTGCCATGTATTCAGCCTCAGTAGTTGAGAGTGCTACTGATTTTTGCCTTTGTGAACACCATGCTATTATTCCATTAGTCATCATGAAAATGTATCCTGATGTTGATCGCCTTGTTGTTGTATCACCAGCATAGTCTGCATCACTATAACCATGTAACTTAAGTTTCACCCTAGAATGAAAAAATAAACCATAGTTATAGGTTCCTTTTAAATATTTTAAAATACGTTTCACCGCATTCCAATGTATTATAAGAGGCTTTTCTAAATAGCGACTGACAAGATTTACAGCAAATGTTATATCAGGCCTTGTGATCTGACTTAGATATAACAAACTNGTTGTTGTATCACCAGCATAGTCTGCATCACTATAACCATGTAACTTAAGTTTCACCCTAGAATGAAAAAATAAACCATAGTTATAGGTTCCTTTTAAATATTTTAAAATACGTTTCACCGCATTCCAATGTATTATCAGAGGCTTTTCTAAATAGCGACTGACAAGATTTACAGCAAATGTTATATCAAACCTTGTGATCTGATTTAAATATAACAAACTTCCTACTGCTTCTCTGTATGGAACTTCCCCTGCTTGTAATGATTCACATAAATTTGCATCTAATGAGTGTTGCGGATCTGCAGGAATGCATAGGGCGTTGGATTCAGCCATATTGAATCTCTCCAAAACGCGTTGACAGTATAATGACTGATGTATAAATATTGACCCATCTGATCTCTGATCAATTTCAATACCCAGAAAATGATTAAGTTCACCTGATTTTGTCTCAAAGTTGCTCATCAGGTACTTCACCATCATGTCCACCTGCTCATCATTTGTTGCTGCTATAATCCCATCATCTACAAAAATAGCTACAATCATTAATTGTTCATTTTTATTACTTACAAATACACAGGGATCTGCCTTTGTTTCTTTTAGATCAAATTTTAACAACAAATTTTTAAATTTTGTATTCCAGCACCTGGGTGCTTGTTTTAATCCATACAAGCTTCGTTGAAGTTTGCAAACTTGTTTAGTTCCATCTTCATAACCTTTTGGCTGGTTCATGTAAATCTCTTCTTCAAGATCACCATATAAAAAGGCTGTTTTAATATCAAATTGTCTGAGTTTTAATTTTCTGGCTGCTGCTATTGCTAGCAGTACTCGTATAGAGTCATACTTTACAACTTCATTGAACTTCTCACGAATATAATGATAACGAATATCTATATGTTTGTAAAAAGTATACAACTACTTTATTATTTTTATAATATCTCCGTAAAAATTACAATATTAAATTATTTAATATCAATTACTAAAATCATTATTTATTCATATATAATAATTATAAATCAAATAACTAATCGGGATAAAATTAAGGGATATAACGTAATCCAATTTTCCGGGCAACAATTTAGGAAAAGGTAATAGATAAGAGTGTAAGAAATGGAGACATCTAAAACTAATTCGGATTTATGCCTGGTAAGTTAACGATGGAGCGAGTATTCTATATGAAGTAACTAATAGAAAAGTTTTGGGAAAAGAAGAAAAAGCTGCGTATGGTATTTAGATTTGGAGAAAGTGTATGATATAAATGGTAAAATAAATATAAATTAAAAAACTAAAAAAACACGCTTTTAAAGCACATCGAACTAAAAAGTTAAAAATTATTTTTTTAGTTTTTCAAACTATATTTATTTTTTACTTTTTAGTTTCATGTTATGATAGTAGTTACTATCAATATCATGGTTGTTACGGGTAACGGGAAATCAGGGTTCGATTCCGGGGAGGGAGTCTGAGAAACGGCTACCACATCCAAGGAAAGCAGCAGGCGCGCAAATTACACACTCCCGGAACGTGTAGGTAGTGACGAAAAATGACGATATGAAAATCATCCCTCGTAATCGGAATGAACACTTTATATCTCTTAATTAAAATAAGGCGTATTAATAAATAAATTTTAATAGTAATTAGTATATACAAGTAAAGCGACTTAATTACGTAAACGTATCATGCACTAGGTATAACCGTATTTTGTGGGCGGGCGGGTCGGACTAACGTTATACCTGAGGTATAAACGGTGGTAGTAATATATAAATATATATACGTAAGGCGCATTAAACGCGGGCAGTATTGATCAGTCAAAATAAAAATTTGTTTATATATATATAATATTGATGACAAGCACGCGTGTACGGGTACGATAACTAAAAATAAATTTTTATAGGAATAGTGTGCCGTCGTNTTCCTTTACGTGGTACATATAAGATCTCCACGTAATCTTGAATGACAAGGTGGTCATACTGTCGGAATAAGAATATATGTAAATTCTCCAGTTGGACTGGATGCGAGAAGATTGAAGGAGTCAAGCCTATCAAATGAACAAGATCATGTGATCTTGTTTTTTCACAATGTAAAAAGGAGTCTCGAAAAGGTACATTAATATAATAAAGTATATGTATGGTGGCATTTGTACCCGGGTAAAAAGCGTAGGAGAAATATCAGAAGGTTTTCGGGTAAGAGTAGGAGTGAACCAAAGTTCTGCTTTATGCCCTTACTTATTCTCTATAATGATGGATGAAATTACTAGAGAAATACAAGGAGAGGTGCCGTGGTGCATGTTGTTTACTGACGATTTAGTGTTAATAAGAGAAAATAAGGAAGAAATCAATCAAAGGCTTGAGATGTAAAGATCAGCTATTGAAGAAAAGGGTTTAAAAATAAGTAGAAGACAGAGTATATAGAGTACGAATTTGACAACGAACACGAGGTAGGTGAAATGAGGAGATTAGTGACAATAGGTTAGGACGGGATCGGAAAGGTGGAAAGTTTAGGGTCAGTTATGCAAAAGAGCGATGGTATTGACGAGGATGCAAGACACAGGATTAAGTGCATGTGGTTGAAGTTGAGAGAAGCGTCTGGCGTCTTATGCGATAAAAAAATTCCAATGAGGCTGAAAGGTAAGTTTTATAAAACTTACCTTTCAATGTATGGTTCATAATGATGGGCGGTTGATAAGAAAGTAAAGCAGAGATGAGAATGCTAAGATGAATGAATAAGGAACGAGCATATTATAGATAGTATAGGTGTAGCGTCAATCGAAGATAAGATGAGAGAAAATAGACTTAGATGGTTTGGTCATGTTATGAGGAGTGAAGAATCGGAAGCTGTAAGAACAGTTATGGAAATGAATGTTGAAGGAAGAATAGGTAGAGGAAGACCAAAAAAGAGATGGAGGGATGCTATTGAATGCGTTATGAGGACAGCTGATGTGAACGTAGATAATGTGGGAGATTGTGTCAAGTGGAATTTTAGAATAAGGTTGGCTGACCCCAAGTAGTTGGGATTAAAGCAAGGAAGAAAAAGAAGAAGAAATTGATATAGCATAGAAAGTTAAGCTCATTTAATTTTTTTTGATTTTTTTAAGTCGAGAGAAATAACTTTGAAGTTTGAACTAGCTTAAACTGACAATTTTTTCAGTCGACGGAAGCGACGTACGGTTTCCGAGTCGGTAATATTTGTGTCTTACGCGTTTGGAGTTCCAACCTGTGTATGGCAATGAATTTTTTGCATTTTTTTCTTAATTCTTTTTAAGTTACAATAAATTTTCAACTCTGATTTTTATCTCATTTAAATTTAATAACTTCAATAAAGATCAAGAATCCCATCACTGTAGTCGCAAGAAGAAATTTCTTATTCATAATAAAATTATTTTACTATGTTTTAGGTTATAGCTTCGATGCAATACTGAGAAGGTATTTTTTTATGAGTATCATTAATTTTTTTAGCTCTAACTTGACCTACTTTTTTCAACGATACGTCAAATGATTACAATACGTATCTTGTTGAAGATATTACCCTCGATAATTAAAAAAAAATTCTAATTTATTAATTAAACAGTTATTTATTTCATGTTCTTCATACAGACAATTAAAATCATTCATTTCTAATGTTTTCAAAGTATTTATTGATGAATCAAGTTCGATATGATAGGTTTCAATTACAAAATAAAATCATTTTACTTTGTAATTTAATATAATAATTTTTTTACTCTATTTGTGTGTGCTACTACTAGACTATAATTCAAAATTTTTTGGTAACATATTTCTATATAAATAATTTCTAAAAAAATTATTGTTAGTTTCTCCTGAATTAACAATGGATTTTTAGAACTTTTTAACAACTTTTTTTTGATTAGTTATTTTAGTTAAAGTAAATTATTAAAATTAATTCAGTTCATATTTCAATTGTAGAATCTTTTTAAAAGCCAAAAGTTACTAGGAAATGATTACTATTATTTCTATTTCAGTAATATATTACGATAAAAATGCAAAAAAATATTGAGCTTTTCTGATAAATCTACTATTAATACTAATTATAAAACTTTCTGACTGCATTGTAATCTTAACGATACTACTTTTTTAATTCTCATAAAATTTACTATTTAATGATGTCAATTTCAAACTTGCAAATTGAGCTTAAAGTTATGATTATTAATTAATTTTTTTTATTATAAACTTTCACAAAAATTAACTTTAAAAGATTAAAAAAGTAGGTTAAATATGTTATTTTTCTTATTTTTAACTTATTAAAAATTTAGCTATTTCTTCGTTTATGTTCAAACAAATAGTTATTTATTTTCAATTCTATGACAAAATTATCAATGTTCTAAACTACGAATGGAATAATAGAAGTTAAAAAATATTTTGTAGCATAAATAGTTTTTAGTTATAATTTTTAGGAGACGTAAAAATTATTTTAAATAACCACGATTTTCTTTAGTTAAATTGGAAATGTTAATTAATAATTTATTTATTTTCATATAAAATTAAAGAAAGCTTTTCAAAAATATACCACTATTTTGGATCTAAATTTATCTATCGTGATCCAATTTTAACTGTCAACAATTTTTTTACAATTCTTCAATTTATTTTCTTGTATTTAGCAACGATGTATAATTGTGATAAAGTAGTTTACATAAATATTATTGCTGTTTTAACTTAGAATTAAAATTAAATCTAAATGATTTTTTAGATTGAATTATTCAAGTTTAAATTTTTAATAAATAGATTATAGCCTGTCAAATTTTAAGTGCATAATGTCCCCCTCCAAAAAACAAATATTGAAAGTATATGATTTATTTTACATACATTATTTGCAGTATTGTTATGGTTATTAAATAATATTTATTAATTAAATCGAAATTCTTATCTTTTATTTGCCAATTATGAATTTGCTTGTAGATATTTGACTTAATTTTCATTATAGACTTAGTATTATATCGATTTATTCACGTGTATGTAATTATAATGATTGTTTGCAGGCTAATTAGCGTAAGCAAAATTTTTATCAAACATTTTTTCCCCCTAAAAATATAAAAGGAAATTAATATTAGTGGCTACTTCAAATTAACCGAAACTGAATATTTTTGGTAAAATGTCACTTACGCTAATTATCCTGCGAACAGTCGATATAATGTGTTAAACTAAAAAATTCTATAGTTTCTAGAATGTATTGTATACCTCCTCAATTTAATGGAAAACCCAGAGGTATTTTAACGTTATCAGTGAAATTTATACTTTTATTAAATAATCATTCAGTACACGCTGTTCATTTCCAATTGAGCAACAGTCCGGAACAAAACATTATGTAAGTTACGAATATAGAGATAATTTTTAGCTTTTAATAAAGAGTGGTAGAGGAGAGTCGTATAATTTGAACTTTTAAGGCTCTTCTAGGAAAGCAACTTAAGTTAGAACTATAAAATATTACTAAAATGCATTATAAGAGTTTAACTTATACAAAAACTGGGGAAAAAATAACATAAAAATAATAATTTTTACTAAAATTGATAAAAATTTATTTAATAATAATAAGAATAGGAGGAATAGCTCTAACTTGAGTATTAATGTATAACTATAAAAGTATTATTCTACTTTTTGTTATACATTATTTCCTTCTAAGGAATGTATACTATATTTTTACTACTAACTGCGTCATGGCATTTTGCGCTAAATATATTAATAACTTTTAATTTTGTATATCAAAACTTTACAATTTAATAATATTTACATATTTCTTTTATATTTGATTCTAAGGTTTTATTACAATTTTCTTAGCTATTACTAATCTAATTCATAGAAACCCTCTTTGTGATAACAAACATGATTAAAGAATAATTGAATAATTACTAAGCTAACTAATCAAAATTTGGTAAGACACTCATTTCCATAAAAAAAATTGAGATTTTTTAATTTTTGTGAACAGAAAATGTATTAGGTTCACTATAAACTAATAATATGTAGTTAAATCATTATTTTAGCTTCGATGCCGTGGCCAGCTATGATGGTATTGCGTCTGTTGTTAAGGTTGTCGTTGCTGTTGTGTTGTGGTAGCGATGAGGGTCGCCTCGCCAACGACTACTCCCCAACGCTTCATCATTTATTCTTTTATCGCTTTTCGTGACGTTTCTGTTTTGACGGTGAGTACCGTCACGCCATGGAACGGGAAGAGGGGCCACCAACGACGGGCTTGCGCCTTTGTCGACGCGAGGCCGCCGTGGTGGACGGGAATTCGAGGCAATTATGTCAAGTCGCGCAGCAGCTAAACGATATCAGGGGAGGTAGTCTAGTGATACCCGTTCGCGTATCGTGATTGGGTAACAGGGGTGGTGATGACCACGTACTTGTTTATCTGGAGGCGGGTTGTCGGGTTCCAAAATGTTGATCGCAACGTTGATCACCCGCCTGGTAGGGGTGGTCGGGGCCCATACTCCCAGTGTGGATTAGGCAGCAATAGGGAAACGCAACGAGCGCACTCCGCGTATTGCGAAGTGCGTCGTTGCGACCCATGCGGACACCCCGGTTGTAGTAAGTTCGAGCGATTGGATCGCAAAGAACCTTGTGGGAGGGGTTATAGGATCCGGCCGATCTCGTTCGCCAGGTGGCAAACAAGTCGGTGTAGTTATTGTAGGTTAAGTTATTCCTGCTATGATCCATTGCCGGGGAGCCAGTTGTTGAAGGTGAAAGGGTAACGACAAACGGAAGTTGGCACAATTAATTAGAAACTCAATGCCGTGCCGTTTATTCAAACAAGAAACAATAAAAGGCAACAATTATCAATAATGTGCACAATGTTTAGATATTAAAAGTGGTTAAAGGAAAGAATTAACAAAAGATGCGTAGACGTAGACGGTGCGAGATCAGCGTTTTAACACGATCTATGTAGGGCGTTGTTACAAAGATGGCTTATTAAACGTATATTTGCGGCAGGTCATCGATGGACGTGCAGCACTTGCTGGACTTTGTACCATGGTGTCTCGCGCGTGGTATTAGTCAGTCAAACTACCATATATACATAGTAGGGCGACGGCTGATAAAGTAGGCATGGGTCGCGGGACTCTGTGTATCAAAAAACGACGCAGGACCGTGTTAAAATAAATAGGTTAGTATTATCATATTGTTAATTGTTGAAATACAAAATTAATAGTTAAAATTATTTTAATTTTTGTCGAATCATTTTAATTTAGTTTTATTTATTTTATAAGAAGCCTATTCCTCCAATAAAATATATCTAGTGAAATTGTCCCAGTACTGAATCGTCCACAACGGATTTTTTCTAAATTGAATAAAGGAAATTAAATTTTTTTTTAGATTATCTAGGCGTAGATATATTACATATTCTATTTGTGCGTGTTTCAAATCTACTTTGCACTACTTGAAAAGTAGTACTTTATCATGTATTCTAAAAAATGAGGATAATAAAAATATTGGAAAAGCAACCGTTGACAATTTAACGGATATAATGTGTGAAAAAGGAATTTTGAAAAAAGTTCCTGTAGTTTACATGAATAATAAAATTGGCAATATAGATTTACATTTCAAGCTACAAAATCTCTATGATACTCTTTATGAAGATGATGTTGATTTTCTTTCGATATTTCGTTTCCCAAACAATATTGTCAATGCAATTGACGATTATACATCTGAAGATTCAAGTACAACAAGTTCCGAGTATACTACTTCACAATACAGCACGAAATTGTCAAATGGTAAAGATGAGCTTATTAGATATTATTTATTAGATACATCAGTAAAATTATTTCAATGATACCAATATGATAAGCGTTATACCTTTTTTAAAAATAGGTAAAGATATGACATCAGAAGAAAAAAACGAAGCTATCTTAACTTTAAGTCGCGTGTCTTCTGCTGAGAGTTTTATTAGTGCTACTGATAAAATAGATGAACCTTCACTATCAGTTTATGATCAAGTAAAAGTAATAAATCTATAATTCCGCTTAATCAAACATAACTACCAAGGGTGGATATAGGATTTTTAACATTAAGTGCTCAAAGCCGTACTAAATGCTATCTAAGATACTACTCTTAAAATACATGTCTAAACTGTAATTTTAAGATCACATTTCTAAATACAAAGAATTTTTTAACATGATTTATAATACAAAAAGTTTTATACTAGTTGATTTATAAATGTTGTTTAAATTATACCTTTCCAAAAAATAAGAAGCGTGATACTATGACAAACAAATTGGACATTAATGTTGAATTTTTAGGGTGCCCGAGTCATGTCGATGAGATAGCAGACCATCTAGTCCAACTCACTAACTCCTTCAACCGACCACCTATCCTAAAAATCCCATCTTTCGATCTCCTTTCCTTTTTTCATCTAACTATTAATAAAGTATGACAAGATAAATAGTCAAATTTCTCTTTAGCAAATTGACATAAATCTATAGTTCCAATTATTCCTATACATCCTTGGTTTTACACCTCCTTCTGTCCCGTTTCCATATTACCTCATTTTCCCGTCTTAGATTTGGTCATAATCGGCTACCTTTTCATGCCTTCAACATGTCACTAAACCATTCCCCCTTTTGCCCCAACCACAATAATGAAGTCCCCTGTAATTTTTCTCATTTTTTATTTGATAGCCCAGCTTAACAACATAACCGTTTACTCTTGTTCAATTTCCCGTCCTCCCTTAATATTTCACCCATAATAGTTTTAATATCCTGACACGGCACCGCCTTTTGCTCTAGGCTGGCGCTCACCCGTGTCTCTCTCGATATCAGCCGTCCAGCTATTAATATGACAATCGGTTGTCATCGGTCGTCTCCCCGCCCTTGACACTGAGATAAGGCCGCCGCCGAATATGGATTACCGATATTGCTTTCTGTTCCGCTTACGACGTACACCTAACTGGTTACTCGAATCCGTTTCCGTGTGTACTTTTCTACCTTTTGGTTGGTTTTGTTTTATATAACATTTTCGTCGACCGTTACGCGTCAAGCATCCGTGTTGGTGAAATATTCGCAAAAACTAAAGTGAACTAAATATATTTTTAACACACATATTGATATTACTTATCGGGTACATTTGGTGTACACGACTGAACGTGTACTGTTACGCGTCAACCATCCGTGTTGGTCAAATATTAGCAAACGCTAAAGTGAACTAAATATATATATTAACACACATATACTAATATTACTCATCGGGAACGTTTTGTGTACCCGCCCAAACGTATACTGTGGATACGCGATAATCCTTAATACAAAATCCTCCCCAATAATTATACAAATAATTTCCTTCGTTCATTCAGCTGGCTCCGTTATATAATATTTTTCTGTATGTTAATTTAATATCCTAGGTTTATTTTGTTTTGTTCTTTCTTTTTTAGTATTTTGAGTACGTTTAATTTATTAATTTAACGATATGTTTAATTGTGTTTAAAAACAATATATTTTTTTTTTGTCTTAGTCCTATTGTATAGTATTAGTTTCTATTGTATAGTTTTATTTTAATTGTTCAGCTATAATAATACTTCTGTATTGAAGGCTAATAAAAAAAAAATAAATAATTTTAATTATATCCAATCTGTTGCTAGTCGCTGCCTCAATTAGTCCTAAACTCTGCTGCCGATGATCGCCGAAATATTTAATTAATAATGCAAAAGTCAATACCATTCATGCACAAACAATGTAAATATCATAAGGAGCTTTGATGGAAACACAATGCACGTGTTTTACTAAAACCGGATTAGATTTGTGAAATTTTACGTAATTTTGGACGGGAGAATTCCTTATGCACTCTGGTCGTGCAACAACACCGTAAAAAACTACACCGGTCTAGGAAAGAGAGAAGTGTAACCGATTTGATGATCGTAGATCATTTCCGACGCACTCCACAAGATCGTAACAACTCAACGGGATTTCCAACCGGTACCGCCACTACTAGGCGCTGGAAGAGGCTTGTAGCAGAAACGGCTAATATGAATCAGTTGTTAGCTATCTACATCACGCCTTATCGATCGACTTAAACATTATGAATACGATACCTTATCACCATGATTATTAATTGGAATTACCGATGAAACAAGATATTTACATCTTACTACAGTCAAAGTTAATATATGATAACTTATGAAGAAATAAGTGATTTTTTTTTTATTTGTGGTAAAAACAAAGAAGAGAATCTAATCTGCAATCTCAGATTACATCATTTTCCCAAAAATGACTGAGTATTAACTAGGACATGTACTAACTAAATTACTTAGTTATTATAATTGATAACTGAACCTATTAGTGCCGAAACTATGAAAAATAAAATACTTAATTTTAAAAATTAAAACTATTCTCAAATTATAATATTGTCAAAAATCCATTAAAAAAAAAAAAATTCTATAATTTAAAGCTGCTATAACTTTATTTAAAATACACTGATCTTATTGAAATTTTAATAGAGTATACAAAAGGGAAAAAACTTTATTTAGGTATGATTTGTATGAAAATCCAATTACAAGAAGAATTTGGAAAACTATCCACGTATGTAATTTTTATCAATTTATGAAAATGTTTCAAAAAAATCTGTAGCGAGGAGTAGTTATGAGACATTAAGATTCTCAACATTGAAAGAAAATTAAAAAAACAAATATTAATCAATATTAATAAAACAGAAAACACATCATGATAATTCATCAAATTTGCGTGTAAATCGAAAAGTTTTATTTGAATAAAATAATAAGCAATAACCTTTTAATAATAAGTAATTCTTATCTTAAGTTGCATTAGCGGATGTCAGCCGTATATCAAAAGACTATTTCTACGATCGCGGCTATCATCTAATTATTAACAATCTAAACAGTTACAAATAAATATTTAATATTTTTCGAAAGGTGATATAGCACTATTTTTCCAGGTATAAATTAAAAAAAAATTGGTTACCAGTAGTCTAATTGTCATGACCTACATGTATTTAATCTAAAGTATAGATAATAGGTGTCACTGCAAAAGTGGCAACTCTTAGCAAAGACGTAATGAATTGTTAATTATATTTTATATTATGTCTAGCATTTTGAAAATCTGTTTATTCTTAAATTTCGGTTTTTAGAATCTATCAACAAAAAAGAAAGAAGATTATCCTCGAAATTTTAAAGACGTAATTAGATACGATGAAAACACAAAAAGTTTTAATGGTACTTAATAACTAAATTTATAAATCAACATAAATATTAAATTATGTGATAAGATTATATTTTAAACTATAAATTAACATCATTATTACTTAAATTTAATAGTTTTAGCTGAGTTCTATTTATGATACCTACTTAAAATATTAATAAATAGAAAAAATAATTTTATTCATATTTAAACAGGATTTTTCTATTTTCAGTGAAATTACAAAAAAAAAATGACATGAATTTGCGGTTATCTATATCACTGTTAAACGTATATCGTTCCAAAACCAATATACTACATAGTAAGTTATAATTTTATGAAAAAATATTAAGTTTATAGTAAAATGGCCATTTTTTTTAATTTTAGACGGTGAAAAAACTTTCATAATTCAATACTTCAAAAAAAATGAACCACTTAAATCATTCGAATTTTTTTCAAAGCAAATAAATAAAAATGGTATACAATTTTAAATATAAAAATATTAATTTGTGTGACTCATACAATTTAATAAACTTTATACAGTAATAAATTATATCATAGCTGTATGCAAGAATTTAACAAGAGTTACCAATTTTAGCTTCGATGCGAAGCTGAGAAGGTATTGGTTTTACTAAGATGTGTTTTTTTTTTTTTTTTTTTTTTTTTTTTTTTTTTTTT